GAGGCTAATCACTTTCAGATGACCAGAGTCTAGTCCCAGTGAAGACGTTAATGTGTATTCTCTGTGTATTGGTGTGCAAATGTATCCATCTGTGTAGTTTTCATAGAGATTCTCTTGATATAGTTTTGACCAAAACAAAGAGATTAATCTATAATTGGAGAAATGTGTTTGAGATCAGACTAAAACAGCAAAGACGCCTCATCAACCAATGGACACTCAAGACAAGTGTTCTTCAAAGCAGGGCTGTGTGAATGTTCATGCTGTAAAACGCAGGGACACTTAGTTAGTTCAAAAGTGGCTTTTAACTGAACACTGTGCCCTTGTGACATCCCTGAAGTGTTGTTGTCAGTGCTGCCATTTGTCACCTCCACGTGTCCCATTTTCTTTCCACGATCACGATCCAAACTCAAAAACATCTGGCACTAAACCAGAGACTTGACTTGATCTCTCAAAAGCGCCACATATGTGGCTCCTATTGCACATGGCATCAAAGATACTCAAACTGTTGGGCTTCTTCCCTGTATCGATATCGTAGCACTCCAGCCTTGCTTCACATTCGTATACTTGTGCCATTATCTGGACCAGGATATCACTCCTTAAAAGCTCATCAACACAGATTATTTTTTTAACTTATTTTTTTGATAAGCGAAAGCCCTTCTCTCTCCTTTTTGGGACAGACACACAACACCCCCCTCAATCTCCCTTCTCATGACAGATGACTTCACTCACTCATTCTAGACAGAGCCCTGGATAGGCCCCCTAGGCATGCATACTTGGGGCAAATCCCCAAACACACACATACACACGCGCACACAATTGGTGCAGCTGACCTTGTATAGAGGTTGCAGCTTCACTAAAACCAAAAGCCTCCTAATCCTGTTCCACCGGGCCAAGGAATAAACTGAACCCTCCCTTGTATAACTCAGTACCATGCAATTGTCTGACTGAAAGCTGTTCAAGACTAAAAAAGGAATAGGATACATAAAAATCCTCAATTCAATTGAGTCATTTAGATAATAAACTTAGGGGTGTATTGTAATACATGCAGGCCTCTCTAAAAAAGCATTTTGAGATGAGGAGAAGCCGGGCTGTTTGTTTTGGCAGCGTTGTATCTTAAACGTCCTTTTAACTGCAACACGTTAGTTGTCATTCTGGCTTGTGTTCACAGTGAAACAGGATGCCAGTTCGTCAGTTACTTTCTAGACATCTTCCTTTGCCAGTATCCCTTCACTTCCCAGGAACTGGTTTTACCGGATTTACAGTAAGAGGTTGCAACTTGTTTGAGAAGGTATATGTTTAACAGGTCGAGGGATTTTCTGCAGGTGTATTTTGTGGTGTGGGAGTGTTCTTACTTCCACAAAGCCAAGAAATTCCTCCATAATGTTCAGCAAGAGCTGAACGAGCCTGATTTCAGACTTTTTTCCCACAGTTACAGTTCTTAATAAAAAGCCAAAGCCAAGAGGTCAGTCATTGACCCTGCAGAAGAGTGTCAGTCTGGTATGTGTTCCTCTGTTTAAATAGACCTTTTCTCCTGTGGTTAAGTGGCTGGAGCTGCTCAAAGACCACTTAATTTTACGAGGACAATTTCAGCCATACACTTAATCACGTCTGTATTGTTTTCGTGCCAGAAAAAAAGGGATTCAGACTTTGCCTTGCTATTCAAAAGCTTCAAGGACATGAACTTTCAAAGTTTCAAAGTAGAATATAATCAACATTATGTTCAAGACATGCTATTGTAAAACCACTGAAGCATCGCCAAATGTTAAAACTCAAAAAGTGTGTTATGCTATGCTGCAGTGAATTTCCTATTGGTACCTTGCTTAATTCTCTAACAGAAATCAGAGGACAAAAGAGAGAGCAAGACTGCACCTGTCTGTCTGACATTTTAATGAGTGAGCAGTCTGAGAGGCAGAGATGGCTCCTTATCAACTGTAATAACAAACAGTGTTTATAACCCAGCTACAAAAACATAAAAAGATTTGTTTCCTGTTGGAAAATCTCAAGTCAGTGGTTCCCAACCTTTTCTTCCAGATGTACGGCCACATCAGATGAACTCAGGTTACCCTACACCAGTAACACGTGTGTTCATTTGAATCATTGAGTTATTTGTGAGATAAACGGATATTGTTACGATATTTGTTTCATAAAATTGAACTGTCTGAATTGAATTTAGTGGCGTCTAGTGGTGTAGTTGCAAATAACAACTCCCTCTCTTCACCCTCCCCTTCCAAGCCTGAAGGAGGAGAAACTATGGTGGCTGTAAAACATGTGAAGTGTTTGGTTTGTCTGCTCTGGGCTACTGAGTAAACATTGTGGTGTAAAAAGGCGGACTCTGGGCGTCCAGATAGCTCACCTGGTAGAGCTGGTGCCCCATGTACCAAGGCTGAGTCCTTGCTGCAGTGGATCAGGGTTTAAATGTGACCTCTGGCCCTTTGCTGTGCGTCATTTGCTCTCCCTCGCCCCTGTCCTGTCATTCTGCAGTTGTCACTATCGATTAAAGGCAAAAAAACAAACAAAATATTTTAAAAAATAAAATAAAAATGACTCCATTGAAGGCAACCTGTGGTCTTTGTAGATAAAAACGGATCATTCTAAGGTAACAAAAACATGATTCCTATATTCAGCTGATTATACACTAATGAACGCATAATTATGCATATTATATTCCATTTCTGCCAATAGATCCTCCAAAATGTTACACACTGGACCTTTAAGGTCAGTTTAATTAAGTTTGCATTTGTACAACTGGGAGTGGCAGCAGCTGGACATTTAACTATTTATCCATCATGTTTAACTAACTATTTAGTGTACTGACTCTGTATGTGGATTACATTTTTTTCAAAATTAATTGAGCTCACAATCTGTCCACAAGCCCTTGGCAATGACAGAAGTACCCCTTGGCACACAAGTAGCCAACCCCGTTTGGGAATTACTGTTGTGAATGTTAGAAAGTGTGGACAGGTTGAACAGGACTATTCCAGCCTTGTCTCTGCTATGTGTGCACTGTTACAGGAGCAGTTCTTTCCCCCTGTGCATGCAACCATTCTGTGAATGTTGGTGTACACACGTAAACACGTGAAGATAAACATAGTGTTTTTGTGTTTCAAGCCTTGCAATCTTACTGTTTGGCTGGATGCTTTTCATATTTGTCAGGTGTTTAATGTGTGAGATTGTCTCAGACTCCTTAGAGACCAAACCCAGGAAGAGGGTCATACATATTTATTTGGCTCACATCTTTATCTTTCATTGTTTCGTTTTCTTTTATCTTTTGTACATCTTGTTTTTCGCAAAAGGTAGAAGCTTCCTTGTAGTGTTACAATTCTCTGCACGGCTTGTTTTGACTGCGGCGGCACTCTCAAAAACAGAAACTGTGAACTGCAGCAAGCCATAATAGCAAGAATAGAAATTATCTCTTGTATCCCAAAGTCGGCTAACTTTGCCTTGAAGATGATAAGGCGGCTAATAATAAGAGCCTCATGCTTGGTTGTGGACACTCTTGACTGAGGAAGTAATTAAGTTCAAGCAGTTTATCAGTGGCTGGCCGGAGATGTGCTGTCTTTGTGTGATAAAGAGGAGCTAGTGAGGTATGCCCTTTCTCTCAAGTGTCCACCCCACCCTATTTTTCATCTTCTCCTCCTCTGTCGCACTCCCACTTCATCCACTTCTCACAGGGGAAGCCCAGAGCAGATCGAGGCTAAGAGCCACACAGCTCAGCCATCATGTCACTCATCCCTCGGCCTGTCCCCCCCTGCTCTCCTCAAATGTCCAATCAGGCTAATTTTAGCCTGTGTTAGAGGGCTGTGTTAAATTTGGCAGCGTGTCCCTAAGCGTGCCACGATGCAGATCCGTTTGTACTGACTGTGTGCATGGAAAGACACACGCTCTCTCTGTTTTCTTTTTTGCAACGATGTTCCCATGTGGCTTCTTTTTTACAGCGGGCAGAATTTAGCATAGGAAGGGCTATTTGTGAGGGGGCTGCACAGCATGGAGAGACATGTGATACACTTTTTAGAATGCCCTTCCCTTTCAATGATTGGAAAATAAGCTGTTTTTAGCATCCAGACACATAACTGAAAATGTTAACAGTGTACAGAGGTAGAATACAGTACATTAATACACTGCTGCTGAGACAGTTTGTTATGTAAACACATAGGACTTGTGGCGGCTCATTGCAACTATTTGAAACCCACTCTATACTATACATATACTTTTAGTCCTGGACAAAGACAAAGACAAAGGACTTCTTTAAAGAGCAGCCTTTTTTTTTTTTTAAACCCAATCTTTGGATTTAATAGATTATAATATAGACTCCATTTTCAGACTTTAGGCTCTGGATTGTCCAAAAAGACTGAAAATAAGAATAAGAAATAAGATAAGAAAATTACTGATTATCACAGGACTCCAAGCTAAAGGCAGAGTGGGAAACACAACTGAGCTTCACTGTCTTTCAGTGGCTTCATGTGTATCTCTTATCTCTTCAATGTTACATAAAGCTATTATGTTTCTCATACTGTGATGTGGCCACTAGCCTGAAGCTACAGCGTGACCCCACTTAAAGTCCCGATGTGTTTCTAAACATGTAAACACTGATGTATTTGGTCATATAGTTGAACTGCAAGCCTCAGTACAGAGAGAGTGCATTAGAGTTAATACGTTACGAAGCAGAGAAGCCGGAAGCCACCATTTGTTTACAGTGACGGGTATGATGAATGAACAGTGTGTGTGTACGTGTGTTTGGAGATGAACAGACAGCGAATGTAAAACAAACCAGTGTTGTTCGTGGAAATAGGCAGAATACTAAGTGGGTGCATGAATTCAATTTGGATCTCTGGACATTTTTCCCCCACTTTTGCAAAGACTGTACATGTGACTGTATTAGCCACAGTCTGATGTTATCCAAATAAAAAACATTAGAGAACAAGAAAAATAAGGCATTGATTCAAATTGAAAACACCACAAACAAGTGATTATATAACATTCCTGTGTGTTTTTCTCCACAGACAGTGAGATGCTCCCCTTGGACTGCCTGCGTCCTCGCTCTTTTGCTGCCGCCCACCGGGCCTCCATTCAGCGAAACGGTGATGACCCTCGCCTTTCAATCAGCCTGTGTGACCTGAGCCTGCAGCAGCAGGAGACGACCCTGGAGGAAGATGATGAGGAAGAGGAACGGCTACAACCCTTAAGCTCCGCCTCCTGCCATGTGCCCCAAAACTCTCAGAACTCGCAGCAGTGCTCGCTGCTGCCCAGCCATTTGGACACTGATCTGCGCTTCCACCTGGTGCATGGCATCCACGTGACTGTGCTAGATAAGCACACGGTGGCACGGTTGGATCACCGCGGTGACGAGAGGACCCTGGTGTTCACTAGCCGGCCAATGCGCTGCTCAGAGACGGTGTTTGTGAAAGTGAAGGCGGGTGTCACGCGGCCCGGGTCTCTTTCTTACGGTGTGACATCGTGTGACCCTGCCACCCTGAGGCCCAGCGATCTCCCATCCAACCCAGAATCCCTGGTTGACCGCAAGGAATTCTGGGCTGTGTGCCGGGTGGCAGTGCCGCTCCACAGCGGAGACATCTTGGGCTTTGTGGTGAATGCAGAAGGGGAGGTCATGATGAGCCATAACGGCATTAGTGCAGGGATGCAGCTGTGTGTGGATAACTCCAGGCCACTCTGGATGTTCTACGGTCTGCACGGCAACATCACACAACTCAGGATTTTAGGTTTGTTCACTTGATCTTTTTTTGCAACAGCATTCTTAGATTGTATCTTAAACTCCCAAAAACAGGGTTATGGTCTAATTTGGGAATGCAAAGCAAACCTGTAAAAACATTTAGGGAAAAAGTAAACTTTTCACAATAGTGGACTATAATTGATATCTCCTCCCTATTCAGATTCAGATGTAATGTTCCACATGTGCTTGACTACTCATAGATACCCACAACTCCAAGGAAAAGAGCCATGTTAAGATCTTAGCCATGACCTGCCTGCAGTGAGGTGACCAGGACATCTAAATGCAGAGTCACAGTCTATTTTGAACAAACTCTACTATTGGAATTAAAAAAATGTGTTTCATTAGATTGCAGTTACACCATTTGGATCCCGACAGGAGGCATAAATGTACCTATACAGGTCAACAGTTCCTCATTAGCATTAGTTTCAGTAAAAGTTTGATTATTTAATTAAATCGTGGTTCAGGAAATTGTCCCACAGATCTTTACAGGGTGTCATTTGTAACTTTCCATTCAGAAGTTAATGCAGTCTGTGATCCATCAACGACCTTTGGAGGCTGAATTCCCACTCAGCCAAGTCACGAAATACTTTCCAACTCCTTTGCTGTCTGGGCTGCTCTCTGACTTTTTATCAAGTCGTATATCTCTTGGGAATTTACATTCTACCCCCACAGTTTGCATATGAATGTTAACTTTGTATCTTCAGTTGAACAGAATTTCTGTCAGCTCCGTTTGATTCCAGCAGATTTCACACAAAGATAACGCAGCATTACCTGAAGGTACCCTGAAGTTAATCATGCCTGGTGTTGAGATTCTGGCTGCTTGGATGTGAGACTGCATGCACAGTTTAGGACTGTCTGAGGCAGTATTAGCAGAATAAGAACATATAATGGCTAACAGGTTCAGGAGCTGTGGAAAGTGGTGGTTTAATGACAAGCAGTGGTTGCAAGTTTTGGTATAATTTCCCTTCACAAAAGATTTTCTGGATTCTGTTGATTTTGAAAATGAAACCATTACATGTTAATGTTGTGGTGATGATCACAGGCTGAAGATTGCCGTCATTTTCTGGTTGGATTCAAAGACAGTTTGTCTGTCTTTCAGTCAAGATGAAGATATCATTTTATAATTAGTGTTCAGGACATGCCGTTCGTAGGTTGTAGCAGTTATTATCTGGTTTGGAGAATTCTCTGACATTGCTAAGTTTATTTTCTAGGACAAACAGTACACATCTTCACTGAAGAGGTAAATACGCTGCAGCACATTTGTGGGAATCCAATTTAAGTTTGAAATATTTAGTATGTCCATTTTAAAGGTCCTGCACTTAAAGGATTTTAAATTCTCTATTTTTCATAAGATGGAGCTCCGGCATTGCTTGGACTTAGTGTATTATGATGTGAATGTGAAATACTGCAGAGTGCGGCAAGCACAAATGTGAGTGCTTTTGATTTGTTTACGGTCGCTGCAGATAAAGACGTTCATCTTAATTCTTTGAAAACAATCTGTCTCCACCACAGTGTTGTCTTCTGGCTAAGTTGATAATAATTCTGTCCAAACAAGTTAGCCTTATTTTCACAAGTTTTCTGAGGAACTTCAGAGATGGTCGATATGCATTGATTTGTTAGAATTTGTTGATTTGAACTAATTCTCTCTTGTAGTTCATTTCTGGATCACAATTTCTCCTCTCCTCTCCTCTCCTCTCCTCTCCTCTCCTCTCCTCTCTTTCATGTAGTCAGTCAGACCAGGGCTGAGGAGGTTATTTCTGTCTTGCGTGGGCTCCCAGCAGCCAGCATTATGTATCAAGAGGGGAGCCGTGATAGCTCCTTATGATGCCCTCCATATGCATTATTAAAATGTAATTGCATGGAGGTTTCGAGATGCTCGGTTTTCCACCCACAGCTCGTTCCCTTAACACTGGTCCTCCAGTCGTCTCTGGAGTCTCTTCCTCTTTTCCTCGTGCATTTTCTTACTAACTCACCCCGTTCCTCTCCCCTGATTCTTTGGGGTATGAGCGTTCTTCGAGTCATTACCCACTCCAGCTGTGGGGAGTGCATTTGTGACGTCTCTGCTCACCCACTCGCTGCAGCCGCACGCCACGAGTTGCCATGGAAACATCTAGCCACTGAGGCAAGTGACAGTTTGTCATGCCTGGGTGTTGTCAAGCCTGTGAAGTGGAACAGATGGGAGTCTGTTGCTCTCACATGGTCATTTTGTCCGTGTTATCTTACAAACCAAGATTTTATAATTCCCTGTGAGATCATCAGCACTGGCTCGCAGTAGGCCTTTAATTCTCATTACAGGTGTCTCGCTGTGGGTTTCTGTGCTCAATTTCAAAAGCTGCTATGATCAATATTTTTCTATTAACAATGTAGCAGTCGCTCTTAGTGAACCTACAGAAAATTACAACCTGACTCTGCAGCTCCCTTCAGCTCTACAGAGCCCGGGTTGTCCAGCACACAACTTAATTTTATATTTGGTCCATTCTCGTCACTCCGATAGCGCCGTTTTTCAGTAAAAAAAGCTCTAAAAACCCGCTGTACGACACATGAACATAGTTAGCAAGTAGCTGGTGAACATGGAGCAATTAGGTGCAGAAGAGCCAGGTATATACCCGATGGAGACCAAAACAGAGCTAAAAGGAGAGTGAATATTGGACTTGAATTCCTCAAATGGACACAAACACAAGTTAAGTTTGCAATATCAGCTTAAAAGGTAATGTTACTGTTTAAGACCTGACTTCTTTCAGACACAAACAGAAAAAGAAATTGCCTAACGGATGCCTAGTGGAGATCTCTATATTTGATAAGCAAGTGTTGAAAGCCATCACACATATACTGAACCCCAAATAAGTCTACTGCACTGGCTGCATAGCGAAAGACATTCACATGCTCATTCCTGGTGGCGGAGCCAGCAGTAAATTCATAATACGAGAGAAGATGAAAGGTCCCTTTGATGAAAGGGACATGAATAGACATGAAGGTTATCCATTCTTACTTATTAGTGTTGACCAAGACATTTGCTAACAGCTGTGCTGCCACATAGGTCATGTTAAGTAGGTAATGGAAGGGAGTATAAATGCTACTGTATGCAAACACGGAACTGTATCCACACTAAAATATGATAATATAAAGAATAAATAAATAGATGACTGAAAAAAGCTTGTCTCAGCAAAGTGGTACAAACACATTGATCCCAATGCAAACCTTGAATGCAAGCAAAGTATGGAAAGGTTTTTGTATGGATTGCCAGAAGTCCTGTGCTCTTTGCTACATCTGTTGATTTTTTAGCGGCAAACTGGTTGTTGCATGACTAAAAAGCTACTATGGTTTGTTTACATAGGCTGAAACTGAAACTGCAGTGGTTGGAGTGGTCCGAGGAAAAGCCAACAGAGTTCAGAGCAATGGATCAGAGCACGTAGCTAGAGTTATGAAACAAACTGTATACATTTTTGTGCTAACAACAGACCACATAAATGTGTCTTTTTCTTTTTTTAAGCCAACTGTATTTCATTTTTTCTGCATTCTCTCAACATCTCTGGATCTTTTTTTAGCTGTTGCTCCACTCCACAATGTCAATGTAGGAAAATGTGGATAAGCAAATTGTGGGATAGGATGTAAACTACCAATATTAGATAATTTGGCACATGGAGGGATGGTGGTGCCAAGGAAGTGGCCAGCCTGATAGTATAGCAATATTTCTGCCATGGTCAGTTGAAGGACAATGTGTAAACAACAATGCCGTCTGCCTGCCAGGCAGACTAGATCAGAATTTGTCAGTGGAACCAGGGTCGGCATTACCGTCTGTGAGGAGAAATGAGCTGCCAATATGAGAACTGAAGCCAGGGCCGGTGGTTATGGGGTACGGATGGGGACAGATCATACGGAACAGATAGACTATCGAAGAGTTTTGTACCCTACCCAGAGGGATCATGAGCTCATGAAGGAGAAAGGCTTGGCGTCCCTGATGAGACTACATCAAGTCATAGGCTCTTGACTCACTCACACACACCCACACACAGACACTGTGCACTCTCAAGTCATCTGCTTGGTGAAAAGATTTAGTGTGTGTGTGTGTGTGTGTGTGTGGGGGGTGTGTGTGTGTGTGTGTGTGTGTGTGTGTGTGTGTGTGTGTGTGTGTGAAAGAGAGATGCAACAAGACTTCCTCCATTTGCTAATTATCAGCACTGACTGAGTGAAGGATGCACAGTGTGAATGATGGAAATATTTGATTCCCAGCTAAGAAACCATTGCATTGGCCCTTTTGAACACAGAAGAACTTTCATACTTAAGTAGAGTGCGATGGTAAATCTTTGGTGTCTCTTCTGTGCCTTCAGGCTCATCTCCGCACGCAGACCTTCGAGGCCCATCGGCCCCCAGCTCCCCATCCTGTACACCCAACACCCCCACAATGCTTTGTAGCGGCAACTCCGAGCCCAACCTCAACACACCCTTGAATATCAACCTCAATTCAAGCCTCAACTCCAACTACCACACCGTCTTTTCTTCCTCCACAGGTTTGTCCAAGTCTTCCAATTTATTCCTTTCTCTCTGTCTATCTGTCTATCTTCTCTTTATCTTTATTCCTGATCTTGTGCTGTGCATAGAGAAGTTTCTGCCTCTCCTGTAATGACAACATCTATTAAAGTCATGGTCTCCAATTCAAGCATTCACATATGTGATGTATTTCTTGTCCAACATTTTAGTTTTTTGTCTTGTTTAGCAATTTTTTTTGTGTATGAAACTGATTAAAATGCAGACATGCAGGAGAGCAATAAAACAGCCAGCAGCATACAAACAATGACTGAACAGCACCAGAACATCGACTCACAATACGCATGTTTGCACATGAAGCAAATATTTACCTTGGTGATGTGAAGCAGTGATCCCGGACATCACTGCAGTCCCGGGCTGCCGACAGTATGACAGAAAAACTCCTGGCAGATGATGGTGGCAGAAGGGTTTAAGATTGGAGCACAAACCCAATTTTTCCTACATAAAGTTTTCCTGAAGCGTCATTAGCATAGAAAACCAGTGGGCAGGGTATTTACTTAAAAGGGTATTCAAATAAAAGGTGTGTTGGATATATGTTGGAGTAGTAATGCAACTACAGTTGTCTGCCTGAACTACGTGAGAGGCTTTGTCCATGTTTTGGCAATTTTTTGTCACATACACTCACACATCCCTAATGTCTTTTTCTCTCGTCACCTCAGGCACAACCCCGAGCTCTCCTTTCTCCAGCCACCCAGAGTCCCCTGCCTTCCCATCCTGCTCGGGCTCGTGGAGTGACGAATGCACCATTTGCTATGAGAACGTGGTGGACACAGTCCTCTACGCCTGTGGACATATGTGTCTCTGCTACGCTTGTGGCCTCAAACTCAAGAAGATGGCCAATGCTTGCTGCCCCATCTGCAGGAGGACAATCAAAGACATCATCAAGACCTACCGGAGCACGTAGGCTCAGTGTGTCGCAACGTCAGGTTCAGCTCAAGAGGTTGTCAAAGCCATGTAAGACTTTGTAAAGACGGACACAGCGGAAGTGAAAGCCCCGCTTGTGTGTGTGCAATCTGGCTCAGGTACTCTACAGCAGGACTCTATCGTTAAACAGTTTATCTATGTCATGTCTAATGCACATCCTTGGAACGCTCACAGTGGCTCCTACCTGTGATGTCTCAGTAAAGACCCAGCAACTAGATTAATCAGAGACCATCAAAGTGTGATCAACAGAAACAAAATATGTGCTACTGCAGTAAATGTAGATAGGACTTAAATACACACAGTAACGCCTTGACCTACTATTGTCCAGCGACTCTGTGATTTGTGCATCTGTTGAAGAGAAAGAGTAATCTAAAGAGGCATCTGTCCTACTTCCTGCAGAGTAACCCTTCATTCTGCTGGTGATAGCATCGCTGCTAGCTAGTTTTAGAAGAGGTAAAATTGTCCAGAGCTGCAGAAGAAACAAGGAGAATAAATCCACTTCTTGTCAGAGACCACAAATCTGAGAGAAAATCAAGATTTGGTAGATTATCCTGAATGCTTTGAGAGGCCAGTGAGGAATGAGGAAAGTGAGGAAAAAGAAAGACATTTGTGGTGAAAACTTTGCAGTACTTCTCAAATAAGCCATTTTTTGAATGCGTAGAAAAAATGCTGCTCCTGCAATAAAACACAATGAAATGCCTAAGACTAAAGGGTTAGAAGAAGTAAGAAAAAAGAAATCCTTAAACGAACTCTGTTGTGTAATAAATGGAGTGCTTTGTCGGATATCTCACTACCTGCTGTGCTTCTGTGAACTTCAGGCAGGGCGAGATTGTGCGAAGGGTAAAAAAGTGTGAACGTTGTCACCATAGAAGGTCACGCTTGCGGTGAATGAGGATGTAAATCAGTGAAGCGGGAGCGAGGGAGGAGGTGGGAGAGAGGATGTCGTATGTTTGGGATGAAGACAAGGGAGGAAGGGGCAACTTTGCTGTGTGTCTGCAAAGCGCGAATAAAGTGTTTGCTCACTCAGGCACACCAGATACATCTGAAGTTTGTATGAAAGCCTGTAAAATGTGGGACTTGCATGGTTTGCATGTTTTTCTTCTTGGCAGCCATGTCTGGCTGCTCAGTAAGCTGGCTGGATGCTGTAATTGGACATTCAAATAAACATTGGTGGGCAGCAAAGTATTTTTAAAATGCTAAAAGAGCGCACAAGGATGACAAATCAACCTCTTCATCATTACGAGAAACCCATAAAACACGAAGTTACAGATGGCGTAGCTTAATTCAGGTTACACACTTCTCTCTTTCATATGTACATTAAGTAAGAACATGAATATTTGCTTTCAGTGATGACGTATTTCAGTACACTGTGTCTTCAAGTGGAAAAGAAATTCACTCGTGTGCAGTCAGTGACAAGGATGTAGCTTGTAATTGTGGGACATTGTGAGAATTTCATTTGCATATCAGTTTCAGAGTGCTGCTCTCCGTTTGTAAAAGCAAACTGCAAGGACATTTTCACTTGACTAATCTCATGCATTATGTACTGCTTTGAATTGTTAAGAAGCTATTTTCAGGTGTTTTTTGGCCTTGATGAAACATTACTCAGTAATTTGTATAGTAGTAAGTGCTGATTTGTGTTTTTTTTCAAGGTGTTAGCTTCAGCTTAAGTCATCTCGCCATCGTGGAGGGAAAATTAGCAGTTAAGTTGTATAACATTTGAGTCACAGTTTTCTTGTGTGCCTTTTAAAAAGAGAAGTCTGGACAAACACTGGTCTGTTAGGCTCCTCACCAGTGAAAACCAGGAGGAACACCGAGGTTCATATTCATCTGAAAATCACTCTTATGTGGTTGTGATGTCTCTGGTGTGAGCAGGTGTAACCACACAACCTACAAATACAAAGCAACACTTCAGTGTTCTTAATATCAGTGTGTGAATTTATTCACTGCTAAAGATGAAATGTTAAAAATCGCCTTGTCCCCTCTGTCACTGCATTGTATGATACTGGAATTGTGTTGCTCAGCCTTTACAATTTTTTTTTGTTTTTCTTCCTGACCAAATATGACCTAGCAGAAATAAAACATTGTGAAAGATTTTTGATAGAAAAACGTTATTGATGAGTGTAATATTAACTGTACATTATGAGGTTTATTTATTTTGTCAGTGCTACTATAAAGAATTATCACTGTTTGTTTTATATGTATGGCTATATTGTCCAAAAGGTAAGAATATTGTTTATTTTGTTGTTGCATAGTTAAAGATTATAGAAAACTTTATTTCCCTGAAAGGCTCTGTGCATCTGTCTGATGATTTTCACTTAAAGCAATAGTTTGACATTTTATTAAGTACACTTTATTCACTCTGGTGGAGAGTTAGATGAGAAGATACCACCTTTCCACAGTAGTGGAATGTAACTTTTAAGGACTCAAGTACACTACTCAAGTACTGTACTTAAGTGAATTTTTGAATGGAGTGGAACATTTTGATATTATGGTATCATTGTACTACTTTTTCTTAAAATGGATATAAATTAAATTTTTATAATAACAATGTATAAAATGACTGGTGGCTGGTAGTGATGAACATACAAAGAATGAATATTATAAATATAAAAACATATAAATTAGCGTAAAAACACTAACAAAAGCTCACAGTCAGTAACTTCCTGTAGTCTCCGCTGGTTGCCTGGCAACAGGTCCTAGGAAGAAAAAATTTTGTCTGGCCAAGTCCGGCACATAACCCCTGTAAAAGAGCAAATTGCCTTTTTTTTCCTTTTTTTTTTTACACTTTTTTTAACAAGTGAGACATAACATGTTATTTTCTGAGGTGTAGGGCTGCACAATTAATAGCAATATTATCAAAATTGCAATAAGGCTGAGTGTTTTAATGAAGGTAAAATGTGACATATATATATATATATATATATATATATATATATATATATAATGAACAGCTGTAGTTCTGCAGAGGTGCTCTGCCCTATTTGAGAAAACATGTTTGTTTGGTACAGACTCCAACAAATGTCATATCTTTATGATTTTAATTGTTTTTTCGGTGAAAATGAAAATTGTGATGCCAAAATGATCAATCCCACAATAATCGTGAATCATATCGCAATCATAATAACTTTGAAAATTATCGCAATATGATGTTTTTAACATATCATGCAGCCCTAGTTTAGATTAAGATTTTGTTACGTCTGAGGTTCAGAACCAGACTAGTTGTTTTCCCCGTTTTCAGTCTTTATGCTAAGCTAACCGTTGGTTAGCTCAGAGGTTTTCAGACTGTGGTCCAGGAAACAACAGGGGTCCTTGAGTGGGTTGTAAAGAATCCCCAGCAAAAGGAAGAAGAGAATATTTTAACTTAAATTTTTTGTAGGTTGGAACAACAAAGGGAAGAAATAGGGCTGGCTGAATAATTTATAGTGATCCTTGTTTGATCATTGATTGACTATAAAAACTTTATTATCTTCAAACCTAAAAATAAAATAAATTACTCAGATGGGACAAAATCCTTGCAAAGTGGGGGGCCATGATTTATAATGTGCAGCTATAGTGGGGGTTCATGGGAGCCCTGTGCGAGCTGTCACCACTTACTAGACAAATATGAGGGTTGTATCAAACGTTTCATCTAACTCTCCGTTAGAAAGCGAAAGAAAGTGTATTTCCCAACATGTCAAACGTTTGCTTTAATGTCATATAATAAAATATGATATTAAACAGGAATAAAATATATAAAGCTGGCATTGGTTACCTATTAGTTGGTCAAATTATGTTTGTCCTACTTGTGCATATTTGAATTTGTGTTGTAGTGAAGCAGGCGTGAGTTCAAATGTGACCAAATATTTAAAGTCTGAAACAAAACCAGCAAGTAAGTGAAGGTGGGCATTGTGTATTTTGAACAAGAAACTTTGGGTTTCCTGGGCTTGGGATTTCTATTAGCTGTTAAAAAACATTCTTAAAGTGGATTAATTATGTTCCATTTGTTAAATAAAGTTTATGTCAGATTAACTGGTTTTGTGCTTGTTATTATCTACTATTTATTACATGAAAAAAGTACATTTTGAGCCCATACTCTAGCTCTTCTTTAGGTACAAAAGTAAGCCAGTCCCCAACTTTGGTTCAAGCATTTGACTCGAATTGCAATAAAAAGTTAAAAGTGACCATTTTCATTCCACAGTCCTTATTATGTTTTATACACAGCAGGAAACTGAAGTCAGTCTGGCACAAAAAATGGGGAATGAGACAGCATTAGTGCAATTACCTTTTCCCAAAACGTACATTATACAAATGGTTGATGTAACCTCTTAGGCAAGAAATTTCAAATTGTGCAACAGTTAGAGAACAAGAAGGCAGCCATCTTTCAGATGCTGAACACCCAACACAATCCCTCACCACAGTAGTATACTTGACTAACACCCTGCCATATACTATATGAATAACAAAGGCAAGGGCTTTTAGTAAACAGCTATAACTCACAGCGAAACTGTTTAGAGTCGTGGTATGTAGACCTGGCCAGAGTGAACATCATCTGTTATTTACTACCCTGCGGGCCTGGCTCTAATGCAGCACTGTTTTATGCTGTACTCCAATAGGCACAAATACAGCCCATGACGTCCGGACATGAAACAGGCAGCAGTGGCTGCCGTTCATGGCCAAGTGTTCTCAGAGGTGAGAGGGAAATACACAGCCTGGGTCTGTGACAGTGACATGAATACAGTATATCTCACTGGTGTCTGTGTACACACAGACTTTCCACTCAGACCTCTCAGTGAACCTGGCTGCCGGCCTTCTGAAGGCTTAAGGGCTTGGCAGACTTGTTTGAGCTGTGTTGTGGTATCTCCTCTAGACAGCTGTTTGGTCAAACACACACTCCATCTATTAAGGTATCAAATTTGTATTCCAAAAAAGCGCGACACCATCGATTTTGAATTTTAACTAGACATCAGTCAGTCAGAATTTGAGTTTGTTCCTCTGTTGTAGTTAAGGCTTTAAGCTTTTGATGTTCAGCGTGATGTAAAATCTTTTTCTCAGTCAGATTTGACATCAGACAGACTGAGAGAAGAAATGCAATTATATTAAAAAGTACAACTTTGTTTATAGCTCAGATCAATTGAGGGATCTCATACTACACTATCTAATTACTGTGTTGATGGAGACGGAGGTGAAGGTTACTGTGATGCTGTGGTCTTTCTGCAATAAGAAGCTGAGTGCTGCTGCCCTCCAGAGGCCACAGACAGCAGCAGCACCTTCTGCACAGTGCAGCCTACAACAAAACCATAAGCAATGTGTGATGAGAACAGAGAAAGGATACACCTTTCAACCAAACCATTCATTATTAATCATCAATTCATACTTATATTTATGTATTTCGTATATTCAAACTTGTTTTCCCCATTCTCTAATAATAATCTACTTACTACTGTAGTTTTCTTTTTAAATCATATATTACGGTCAACATCAGTTTGCTCAGGTGTCAAACGACTTTTTCTAAAGGTCAAAAATGAACTTCCACATACAATACAATACACATTAGATTCTGAGTTTTTCACCGTACAACATAACTTCTGACACAATGACTGACAAACCGCCGTCATGTTTGAAGTTATAAGTCTCTTGGGATGTCTTTATCTTCTTTCTTTCTCCTGTGATTTATCGTTTGCATGCACAAATAAACATGTACTCTACACAGGTACAACAAGCAAGCAGATACCGACACACTTAGACACAACCAGCAGACAAACACGTTATAAAGATGATCAGCAGGCACCCATAACTTAGTTCCAAGCCAGTGAGTGTAGTATGAGTGTAGAGATCCCAATAGAGGAAACAGCCAGTGGGATGGACATATTTCACATTAAATTCCTGTGGGCAGTAAATCTTATTATATTTCAGACACCAAATCCAATATATCAGCAATATGCAGTGTGTGACACTGGAAAACTGCATCAGTCTTTTGATTTGGTGTTTCTCTGATTATAGCTGAAGGCGACAATATTATAGACTACAATTCCAAACTGCTAACTTAAACTTTTGTTTTGTCAGTTGATGCTAAATTAAGTTGCCCAGCGACCACAGAGGGAAAGCCACCCAGACCAAAGTCAAATATGCAGGTTCTCCCAAAGCAGAAGCAGCTGGAGGAAGCCAATCAAATTGAACTGCACCACTATCTGGCTGTGGGTAAGAAATGAAAGGTATGCTATGCAACCAAGTGTGATCTAATTTATTTGCATAACAGCATCCAGCTGGTCAAACACTTCAGCTGTAGTGCATATGCACAGATGTGAGTTTATACTAGATATAAACACATTCAATATTGAGATCTTTTACTTATTCCAATGCACAAAGCTTTTAATGCAACCCAACTGAGAGGCTTAACATAAGCAGTGATTATAGCCTGTGATAAGTTTTCATTATATTGTTTATTATATGCCAACACCACATTAATTTGCAATTAATTTAGCAGATAATTACACCTACTCACATGACAAAATAAACAGTGGAGATGCCACAGAGAATGCCACATGTGGAGCATGAAAGTCCATTAGAATTTAGTTTTGTCTGCTACATATCTGCTCTGTAAATCACTTGTTCTGTGTTCTCCTTTGAGAAACCAAAAAAGAAAAACTTGATGCTTTCATTGTGCCATTTGTTTTACTTTAATTTGACAGAATACTGTTCCTGTATCCGTCTACTTAGATTGAATTTCGATACAGCCAATCGAATCTTGCATAAAGCAGTGGTGTAATCTTGCATAGACAGAGCAGACTGTCACACTGAGCCAGAGAGCAGCCTGCTACACCACACAAAAGCCACATAAAGTCTCATCTAACTTACAAACATGAACATATGTCTTGTCCTGCACCATAGCGTGTTGAGACAAACATTCACCTGGGGAAAGTGCACTGCTAACGTCAGTTTGTAGGACAGCTAATTTTCTCAATTGAAACGCTGGTGTGATCCTCACACTTCAATACCACTAACAACACTCTGTCTCCCCATTACATGTAGGCACTTTGTCTCTTGTTCCCTATAGTGTAACACTGACGCTCTGGAGCCGACTCTAAAATAATAATGGGTAAACAGTGGATTTGCTAAAAGTAATGAATAAAGAGTTGAAATAGTTAGCTAAAAGCAAGTTGAAATAATTACCTAAACGTAATGGATAAACATTTGAAATAAATAGCTAAAAGTAATGGATAAACAGTTATAGTAGTTAGCTAAAAGTAATGAATAAACAGTTGAAATAATCAGCTAAAGCAGCCTAAATTAATAAACATTTGAAATGTCGAGCTTCTGCCAACTTGACAAAAGCAACCTAAACTGAACTGTATCTATATCCCCTTTTATAAAAATGAATATTGTTGAATAACATCTGGTTTATAATCCATTCATAAGGGCACATGAGGAACATGGCGGGTTGTGATGAAGAAGGGGTACTTGAGTTAATCAGGCAACTCGTTGACAGGGCCAACAGCGAATATGAGCGATGAGAATGAAATAAAATTACTAATTATTGTTCAAAAGTGCATTTATTCAATTCATTCTTTTGGCACTTCAGTTATGATCACTGTTCACACAGTTAGCATGAAACAAAAGTGAGCATCCCAGTACTGCTGTCAAATTTACTGCCCAGCAGAAATTCAAACTGTTATCATGATTAATAGAGCAGTTCTTAGAAAATGTTTAAGCAAATGTGATTTTTTTTTTTTAAATCAGTACATTTCTTACAAATATTAATAAAATAAGTAGTAATATGATTTTTAAGGAATGAATAAATATAATTTGTTAGGGAAGTTTTAATTTTGGTTCAAGGGGGGATCATTATCAGGGATTGTTTTTACATTTAATCATAAGAAAATACTGTGATAATCAAAAATGCTCACAAATTGTTTCGTTAGAACAATATTACACAATTAAATGGATAAAATATTTCACATAAAGGCGACATACAGTATAAAGTGATATAAAAAAAAACATGCAAACAGACAGCACCAAGATGAGACTAACAAAAAGCAGCTTTGGCAACAACTGAGATTTTCTTTACCGAAGGAAGGAGAAAAAGGTTCAATTTCAACAGCTCAAGGCATCGTCAGTATAATGAATCATTTCAAACATGCAGTAAGCTTTAAATGCTTAAAAAGTTTTTTTTAAAATTACATTATAAACTTACAAAGAAAGGTTCAAGGAGAGGACACAAAATGACATCTTAGTTCAAGTTAAAGGTAAACACTGATGGATATCATTAAATCATTCTTCCACTCCGGTGTTCTCTTTGGCTGTGTCATAAAGTCCCAATATATTGCTCCTAATGCAACGTCTTAAGCACTGTATCATGTAGACTCATTTTACCAGATGTTTCATTTAATTTCAAAGTCACGATTTGATCTGGCTGCTAATTTTGGCAAAGGTAGCAGGTAAGCTTTCAATCCTTACTTAACGTCTAAGGGTTAGCCTTTTCACAAAATAAATGCATCTGTTTGAGTAGTCTTTACACACATGTTCAGAGTTCTGCCAGCTCCACACATGAGCGCTAGTGCTTTCTCTCGAGGTAATTTGAGGGAACCCATCCCTTCCTTGGTCTGCCATTGTCCAGAATCTTGCAGTACCACCATCCATTGGGGTTTCTGTCCAGGACCTCCAGACTCGTCCCCTCAGGGAATCCCATGGTCTCCTCGTCACCATGGTAATCCGCTATGGAGACATACACCTCTCTGAGGTTGTTATGGATGATGTGGGGCTTGGGTTTCACCGTGGACACAGGGAGGGCATTCTTCTGAGAACTGAGGCCAAGCGATTCAGAGCTACCAGTACCAGATCTGTTCCTGCTGGGTAGTGCTATGTTGTTTGGAGCCAGGCTGCGTGGCACAGTCCCGAAGGAGGCATTGCGTCTCACTGTGGGGCTGGCACGAGGGTGGTCTGTGGAGTTAAGGGACTCGTTTCTCCTGAGAGAGCCGACAGGGCTAGGACCATCCCTGATCGGGCCTGATATGAAGACAGACTGAGGTCTG